AAAGCACTGTGCCAACTTCAAGTTAAGGTCTGTTATTGGAAGAATAACCACATATAGCAAGTGTTAAGAAACCTTTCACCTGCTCCTGCTCTTAAAATATTTGTGAAAACTAGTCAGGGTGCTAAAATTCAAAAAAAATATCTCACTTTCAAATTTCTTAAAAACATTTGGTTGATGATAATTATGTTTAACAAATGTTCTAATTTGCTCTATTTATTCTGTCTTTGGGAAATTATTAAACTGTACAACATCGGATAAATAAAAGTATTTGAATACAATATATTAGGCAAACTAAATGGAATTATGATTTATAAGGATTATTACTTTTGTCAATAGTAATATAATAATAATGTTAATATAGAATATCCTCCTCATTAATGCAGCTACGACTTAACTGCATCCTTTTCAGTGCTTTCTACTAATTATTAAAAGTACATCTGACAAGCATGTTTGCATATGCTATTATAATGACATTATTTTAGCAAAAGCAAATGCAGATATCAGTTGAGTAATGTTACAGTTGGGTACAACTGGCAGCACACATTTCTCTCTAATAAGCTACCACAGTTCTCATCAAGTTGACATCCTGTAGCCTGTACTGAACCACAGCAAATAAACACCATATCTGCACAGCTGATCTACTGCTGGTAATCTTCCTCAGATAAATCAAGACATCCAGCACAGAACTGGGCTGAGAAATGGAGAGTAAGACGGAAGAAAATAAATGCAGTCCCAACAGTATGGGATGTTAAAATGTTCTGGATTGTGGCTCACTTGTCCCCTTTCCTCACATATCACCGATCTATGTAATAGGCACAAGTCCCAATGAGAGGTGCATTTATTTATTTATTATTTTAGATGTAGCTGATTCAAAGCAACCATCTGGTAGTTATTTCGAATTAACAAGACTTACCTCCAAAAAAGAAAAAATAAGCGATACTTTAATGGGACATAATGCATGTATAAAATCACCAGGAAAATCGAATTAAAGTTAGCTTAAAGTTTGTCGACTTTATTTCTACTACACATGCAAAAGGTTTTAATATGTTACAACTTCATTCAGAGCTCAGGTTATCCCGACAGAACAAAGTCAATGCTCATTCACTATATGGATAGAGTAAAGCAACAAAAACAGGAAGTATGCTCATCTACATCTCTACTGTGGACTGGTAGCACTTTCTGTTACAGCTTGGCCACAACGTTATAATAGTGGGGCATTAGTGTGAAAGCAAATATAATGTGGAAATAATTACAACTTTATTACAAAGTAACATCCAAATAATAACCAAGTAATATCTTGTATGAACAATGGATCTAGCAGAGAGGTACTAACTTTAAATATGTGTAATTGGTTAATAACAAGACCAAATGGGGCTAATAATGACATAAACATATGACTGTAAAGCAGGACCAATTGGTAATCATACAGTAATATATAGGTAACCATATGATGACCAGCTAGAACTAAAATGGTAACATTAGTTCATCATGATTTTTATATAATAACTTAAAAGTTTTAGTGAAATCAATAATAGGGGAACACTGCTTTATCATATTAGGATACTATTGCCATAATGCTGGAATTAATCCAACCTTACGGCGCCAGTATTCTTCTTTGTTTGAAGGTTATCCTGAAAACATATTTAATTCTGAGGTGTATTGCCTGGAAACATATGGCAGTTTCTTTGCAATAACCAGGACTCAAGCAG